ATCACCGTCGCCTGATGCATCCTCAGAAATTGCTGAAGGTTCAGCAGTAGTAACAAAAGAACGTAAATTAGATCCTTCACATCCTTTTGTACAAGGTACAGAAAAGGGAAAACACACGGATGAGATTAGTGTCACCTTTTCCGCAAGTAAGTCTGCCATATCATCAATATCTCAGGATATCGCTACACGAAAGGCCGAATGGGATACGGAAACTGATCGTGATGCGCAAGCATTGTTAGAAAAGAAACTAGTTTGATGAACACCCTAACGACACCTACATAATGTAGCAACTTATTTACAAGAGCAGCCAATCAAAATCATTTACTAATGATATGCTGTAGCAATGTCAATGACCATCAACCCGAACTTCGGGAGGGGCCGCCCTGGTGTTGTCTAATTGACTATAGATAGATACTAGTTATTGTGTATATATAGCTAGAAACAAAATTTTGGGGTAAGTTAACGTTAACAAAATCAAAGAAATCATCTGGGAATACGTATTTATATATAGTAAACACTAAGCTTTTTGAAAACTAACCAAGATTACGTATAAGAACAAATTAACTTTAAATGGTCTAATGTTAATGCTAATAGTTAAACAAGAAATCCATGTGTATGTACGAACATACGTACGTACGTACAAACGTAAAAATCCACATGTACGTACATACGTACGTACACTGATAACCAGTTAATATATCTGATATGGTTCGGCATAAAAAGTGCCACGTGTTCTTAAGAAAACATAACGAACTTTTTTGTCCTTCCAGAATCGTGGGTATGCAACATTTTATGGAATATAAAACACGGATCGACTTTTTTTATAAGGCTGTAGCAATAATGTAGTAATCCTGGCTGACCATTATTTCATTTTTCGATTATGAATAAATCGATAAAATTTATGGCTTAGTCAATTCGCCAATTTTATAACTGGATCAATAAGTTTCTGTTTTCAGCAACCTATGAAAAAAGTTTTACAGAATTTTAAATGAATTATATGAAATATATATTTAGTATAGTTCCGTATTACGTACATATGGAATTCGCCGCAAATTCCGTATTTTATATACGGAATATGTTCCGGGAAATGATAGGGTTCTAAAAGAAATGGCTTAATTCCCTGTGCATATTCGTTATATGTATAAAATACGGAATTATACTAACAGCTAAATATTTCGTACGTACGTACGTACGTATAACATATCAGATATATGGGCTGCCGTCAATAGAAATAAGGCAAATTGACATTTTAAAAAAATTTAAAGCCTTAACTTTCACAGCTC